TGCAATCACCTTGTTCATCTTGGGTCTTTCTTTGAGCACATGAATGAAAATAAATAAATATGCTTATAGACACTCATATTACCAAGTGAGGAATGGGTCCGTCCGCCTCACGCCCAAAGACCCTGTACATATTCTGTCCAAATAATTGTTATGTATCTGCCCGAGCCTTCCCTTCTTCTTTTCTTTAGAAAGGGAAACAGAGAACATGTGATGTAGGCTCACTGTGGCTCTCCTGATTGTCGTTGCAGGCAGGTGCATAAAGAGACGGCTGCTGTGTAACGGTGAAAATGACTGCGGAGACTTTTCGGATGAGGATGATTGTGAAAACGACCCCCGTCCCCCTTGCCGTGACAGAGTGGTGGAGGAGTCTGAGCTGGCACGCACAGCAGGCTCTGGGTCTGTATGCCATTTGAATGTTTCTAGACGAAGACGAGGAAACAACGACCTCCATTTCTCCAATGGTGATAGACTTGGAGCTGGCCTAGAAAGCGGCCTATGGGTCTGCATTTTGTTTGAATTGCCTCTGAATTTGAAAGAGAATACATGCTGCATAGATATCTCAGAGTGATCAGGACCAATTGGCTGGCTTCAGTAGAGTTTGGGGTAATAGATGTTAAAAGAGTAGACAAATACATCCGAGGCCAGTGGAAGATGACACAGTTCACGGAGGACCGTTTAAACAATAAGAGCAATGTTAAAATGACATGATAACATTTGGAATGGAATTGCCAGTAACAGGACCAGCAATTCAACCCCAATGCTTAAGTTACTAGGAAGGTTAGCTTCTATGGACCCCTTCCCTGGATCTATTCTATATTATCTGTGGAGCCCTGGTAGTGTCATACTTACATGTTAGGCTGTGATAAATATGGTTAGCAGTTCTAAACCACCAGCAGCTTTGTGGAAGAAAGACCAGGATTTCTACTCCCATAAAGTTATAATCTCAGAAACCTGAGTGGGGGAGGGGGTTGCTATGAGTCAACATTGACTCAATGGAAGTGAGTTTGGTTTGGTTTAGACCATATTATAGGAGCCCTGGTGGCATAGTGGTTATGCGCTGGGGTGCTAACTGCAAGGTTAGAAGTTTGAATCCAGCACATGATCTGAGGGAGAAAGTCAGGGCTTTCTACTCCTATAAACAGTTAGGGTCTCAGAATCTCACAGGGACAGTTATACCCTGTCCTATAGGGTCACTATGAGCCATAATTGACATGATGGTAGTGAATTTGGCTGGAGTTTGGCATATCTTGTTATAAGTTCTAGTATTTTAGAGTTGATCCCGGAGAATGTAATCAGGGGAAGCAGTTCTGGTGTTGAAGATGATGGTTTTGAAAACTAAAGTTTCACTCACCTTCTCATCTTCCTTAAATAATGTAGAGTGGCCAAGTGGCAAATTGGCCCAACAGAGATCTAGCTGCTCCTCTATCCGGTACTATATTGACAGAGATGGCACATGGGTGTATTTCATCACTTATAATGTAATGTGTTTCTTCATTCTCATGTCCTCAGTCTCCAGTTCATAATTCATGTTCAATACTTCTTTGGTATTTATTTGTATTTATGAATCCGCAAATAAATTAATAAATTAGTTAATGAGAGTGTAGGGAGCCCTAGTAACACCATGGTAAAACCCTTGGCTGCTAACCCAAAGATCATCAGTTCAAACCTACCAGCTATTCTTTGGGACAAAAGGCTTGGCAATCTACTCCTGTAAACACAGTAACCTTGGAAAGCCTCTGAGGAAGTCCTAGTCTGTTCTGAAGGGGCTCAATGAGTCAGAATTGACTGGATGGCACAATATCACAACAATCAAAATGAGGATATAGGAATAAATGTTTTCTATTACTATAAAATACAGTCAATTCGCATCAGTTAAGATATAGAAAACACTATGAATTCATTTCAGTTAAGATGATCATCATTAAGTGTCTGGAAAGAAATTCAGGGGCAGGCTTGGAATTAGGGACGAGAAAGAAGATGAGGGAATAGTATGAACAAGGTGGAGAGCCTGTACTCATTTGCTAGGGCTGCCGTAACAAAATGCCACAAACAGGGATTTAGAAGAAAAGAAGTTTCTTGTTTTACAGTTCTGAAAGCTGGTGTGCTGGCCATATGGGTCATTTCTGAGGCTCTGAGGGAGACTTGGTCCTATGCCGCTGACTTAGTTGCTGGGAGCTATAGGCATTCCTTGGCTTAAAGCTGTCAGAGCACATGGCACATTGCCTGTGTCTCCCCAGCCCTCTGTCTCTTCTCCTCTTTTATAAGGAGTAGCCAGGGAGGATTGTGACCCACTCCACTCCATTTCGGTATGGTCTTCAAAGATTCT